ACAACTACAACTACAACTACAACTACAACTACAACTACAACTACAACTACAACAACAACTACAACAACTACTACTACTACTACTGCTACTGCTACTGCTACTGCTACTGCTACTGCTACTGCTACCACAACTACGATTACGACTACGACTGCCGCAACCACTTCTATTTCTGCTGCCACTACTGCTAATACCATAGCTACTGCTACTGCAGCTGCTGCTGCTGCTGCTGCTGCTGCTTCTGCTGTTGCAGCTGTGGTCATTCCTGTGTTTGTTATTCCTATTGTTGTAGCTCTTGCTGCTGCCACTGGTTTGGTTACTGCTGCAGCTGGCCGAATGCCTCGCAGTTACCAATGCTACCAGTCCTATTCAGATGATGTTCGTCGAACGGTATTGCCACGTTTGCCAGGGTGGCTTCAGTAACAACGAGATCAACGGCGAAGGGCTGTACATTTGGGTACGCCTGGCCTGCCTGACCATGTGAGATGAGTTCTTCGAGCCTCGGTCCGTGGTCTTCGGAATTAGCCTCCCTCTTGGCAGAGAGACCGGCGAAGATACGAAGGCCAATGGGCTCGCGGCTCAGGACTTTGCTTGAATTGCGGACACCCTTCTTGCAGTGCAGCATCCCAAGACAGTCCCTTTCACGCAAGACCTGCTTTGTGATGGTCTGTTGTTAGTTTTCACGGATCTAGCACAGAAAGCTTGTGCGACTGTTGCAGTTGCACCTTGAGGGAAGCACCAAGCTGTGCTCGCCAAGGTCAACAACCGCATGCACGGCCACGGCACCTTCACCTGGGCTGATGGAAGAAGATATGCTGCTCTCTTGCACCATGAAAGCCTGTTGCATCCAGAGCCCCAGCGTGGAACCGACCATCCCAGGAAGGGCAGTACAAAGATGTCTGCGGCCAAGATGGTGTAGGGGCTTGGGAGCGAGGGATGCAACAGGGAGTCTGGCATCATCTCCATCCCTCGCTGACATTCCTAGACAGCTAAACATGAGGGGGACAAGGAGAAAGAGAGACCAAGGATGCAAAAGATGGCCATGGCCTGCCCTTGACTCAGAGACCTACTCGAAAGCCTATCTGTCGGTTGGAGCGGGGTCGTCTTCAGCAGTGCTCTGCAGAGAAGCGTGTGAAGCAAGATGTGGAGAAGAAAAGAGACGAAGGATGGATGGACATGGCTTGAGAGACGGACAGACGGAGGACGTTGATGAAATGGTTCGTGGTTCTTGTGAAGCATCATTTGATGGTTGTGGTTGCGGTGATGTAGTCATGCTGCTTCTAGTGCTTCACCATGATAGCTTGTACATGGGCTTCGAGCCATCCACTACCAGGTTCCTGTGGCCAGATGGCCGCAAGTACGATGGCCAGTGGCGACGACTGGCTCGTTTTGTACTTGCCTAGCGACCCAAGGCATTGACTTGAGAATGGCAAGATCGAAGTCAAGCATAGGAGTCCCAGATTTCACCAGTTTTTTTTTTCAATGTTCGGGTTCGGAGAGCTGTTGGGGCTTTGGGACGAAGCAGCTCCAGGCCTCCATAGACTTTATGGGTGCCCTGGGTGCACCTAGGGACAAGGGAGTCGTGTTGAGCTGTTTGCGCTGTCATTCTGCAATTATCCTAAACTGTGGGACACCGATGCCGAACAGGTTGTGCTCTCGAAGTTCTGGGCATTCGATTGGCCGCATTGCCCGTGTGAATTGTGGCAAACACTGCTTTCCTCGAACCAGGGGTCCCGTCTCGTTTGGCGCTTCGAGGCCTCTACAAGTTGCGTGCACGCTGCCCGGAAAGGGTTTCCGAAAGACCGTGCATGAGTCATGAGTCGGTTTCAAGGGTTGCCATCGACTCTGCCAGGAGAGATGGCAAGCAGCATGGCAAAGGCTACTATGTCGGTTGCTCAGTGCTACCTGCTTTGGCCCATGCTTAGAAGTGCAGCAGCCACATACAGCCACTCAGAGGCTTTGCATAATGCTTCTCGCAGAGTTCCACTCATCCACGAGTTCGTGCTGCAGTTTAGGGCCTAGGGTCAGTCACGCAAGCTGCAGATTTCAGGGCTTCGCTGCGGAGCCCGAAATAGTGTGATGTTCTGCATGCCTGGAGTCACAGAATCGCTTTCCGACGGTGTTCCGAGAAGGTTTCAGCTGTGCAATCCCGGATTTGCGGTCTTCTTGCCAGGTGACTCTTGCGCAAGAGAAGAAGCATGGACAGCCGTCTTGTGAGTTTTCCTTGGTGCGGTTACAAGTTCCCGGCAGAGTACTTGCTTCAAGCCAACTAACTACAAGGAATAGAGGGAAATTCCAGGTCGCTTAGCCGTCCTTGAACCCAGCAAACAGGGGCTCACTGAGGGGGAAGTCTGCTGTAGCCAACATTCGACCTACGGACCTGCAAAGCCAGAAACATCACCTGCTACCCACAGGAGTCTGGGAGGACGGACGCCGCATCCGCTGGCTGCACGACGAGGCGACAGGCAACCACAACGCCGTGTGAGGCAGTGAGGCCTTTCGTCTTGAAGGGGTTATTCAGAGTCAATCTTGTTGGGTTGGAACGAGTAGGTTCAGGCAGGGCCAGGGCGGTGGATTTAGGATGTACGCATCTCCGATTGGGCACCTTGCTGTGGCACTGAGTGCTAAAGGCCTTGTCATGTCGATCTGCTGGGTCAACTTTTCAAGTGCGACCAGGACTTTGGGTTGCTGCCTACTTCAGGTCAGGAAATCAAGGCGCCCAAGGCCTCTCTTAGCTGTCTCCCTCTGTGTCATCGCTGAAAGAGCGTTCTGCCAACGCAGTGCCTTTAGGAACTGCACGACGCAGAGCCAGTAGCTAGGGCACGAAGATTTAATTTTTTTGCATGGCTCAGAGGGCGCGCGCACTCTCCCGGTGTTGCGGATGAAGTGTTAGCGAAAGGCGCGACCGAGGAGTCAGGCGATTTCATCTGCTTCTGAACAACACTGGGGGGCGGCCGGTCCTTGGGGGAGATGTCGCTGTAATCTCGGCTTCAGGATGTTCATGGTGGCATTGACAGAAGCACTGCTTGCACCTCAAGTACTTGGCAATCTGCTGTAGCCAAAACTAGCTGTTTTCTCAGCCGTTCCTTTTGTGGCGTCAACCCTCCCGAAATTCTAATTGCACGTGCCGCCGAAGAGCACCCAGACGTCGCGCGGTTTGCGAGGCTGGAGACGACCCCTCTCCTGCCACGTCCTCCAACAGCCCCGTTGAAGAGCCTCGAATGCTGCATATTCTGTGCAAGATTTACTTGCCGCGCTCCCTGGAAAGCCTACTGGGGTGGCTGCCTGCAAGGGCAAGTCTCTTCTCACCCCCGCAGTCGCCGAATTTTTTCGCAGCAAATGTCATGCTTTCGCCTTTGGTTTTGCGTCTTGCCGCTGTTGCTTTCGCTGTAGGTTGTCAAGGTGACAGACGCATGATCACTCTTGGACCAGGTCTACGGAGTTTGCAGCTATCAATCAGCAAATGACAGGTGCACTTTGACCATCCATCAACGCTGAGGCCCCATGGTTGTGCCTTCGTCTGGGGCATCGTTGTTCGAGAAAATCAGCAGCAAAGCGGCCCCCGGGCAGGTCTCCGACTGAAAGCGGGGCGACCTTGACAACGCAAGGGTGCGAGGGGACCTTCTGCGAGTGTGAGCTTCTTGTGCAGAATCGTGATCTGGTTTGCGCTTATTGCAGCCTACGCCTCTAACCCCTCCTATCGATGCATTGAGATATATAGAGGGATCGACAGATAGACAGATAGGCAGACTGGCAGATATGGACAGACTGCGATCGACATAGATATACACACACACACGCACACATATTAGAACATATTACACCCATGCACAAAGTAGGCGGGAATCTAAGCCGGATAGACCTACAAATACCTAGAACATGCTGCAATCATGGAGTTCCATGCTCAGACGAGCAACCCCAAAACAGCAACAATCCCTGGACATTGAAACCACAATCCGGAGGTCGTTGGCCACTTCCGAGGAGCCTTCCTCACAAGAGTTCCGTAGAAGTTGGTCGGGGTTCGAGTAAAGGGGGTCGTTGTGTGCTTGCCACAGGAAGTCGACTTTTGCAAGCCGTCTATTGATATCCGACTGAACTCATTGAAGCTCTCGAAGTTGTCTATGCCAGCTGCAAGTGGTTCGCTGCAGCTTGAACTCAGCAGAATTACGGAACGAAACAGCTGCAAAAATACGCGCACCCGAGCAGCCGTTGAGTTAAGCTGGACTGCACTCCGCAAACCTCCCTCTCACCCCCCTGCGTAGAGCGCGACCCTTGAAGTTGTTGGCTAGATCACGAGGAAGCCCAAAACCTGCCCAAACCCACCGCGAAAAAGTGCTCGGGGCCATGGTGTTGCAGACCTTGCGGCCATGGAGGCGGCCATGGAAGCCATTGCTGCTGACCTGGTTTGTGTGTCCCTCAGGTCCTCCGGACTCGAAGTCGATGAGTCCTCTTCCCTTCTGGGCCTCAACACACACACGCACACAGCCACTCTAAGCGCCCTTCCCAAACCCAGCCTTCGTTTGGGCTGCGGTAGCTCAGGCCTCGAGCCTCTCGGCCTCGGAAGCTGCGGAGGCCAGGCCCTCCATGGCCCTCCCCCCCTTGTTATTATCATCATCATCATCATTCTCATTACTATTGTTGTTATTATTATTTTTGCTACTATTATTGTGATGTTTTTTTTTGGATCCCTTCAAGCACTTGCCGAGGAAGTACCACCACTCTTGCCAGGCAACCCGAGCGACCTTGGAGGCACGTGTGGCCACCTTGCGGGAGGACGGGCGGGTGGATCAAGCTGGATCGGGAAGCCACATATCCATCGGTCTGCAGAGTGCAAATGGGCCCAGGGGTGGATAGACTAAAAGGCAAGAAGATCAGATGGCACAGAGGCCATAGATCAGCAAATCAACAGACAGCAGGCGCGATACATGTATCTATGTACATTACATATGCATGTATGCATGTGTGTGTATGCATATATGTCCGTTCGTATATATATATATATGTGCACATATACTTATTGTGTCTCTCTGTCTATGGCTCTCTCTCTCTCTGTCTGTCTGTCTGCCTGCCTGCCTGCCTGCCTGGCTGGCTGGCTGGCTGGCTGGCTGTCTGGCTGTCTGTCTGTCTGTCTGTCTGTCTGTCTGTCTGTCTGTCTCTGTCTTTCTGTTTGTCTGTATGTCCGTCTATGTGTTATCTCTGATTGCATCTATCTATTTATTTATGTATCTGTCTATCTATCCATCCATCTATGTATCTATCTGTCTGTCTACCTATCTGATCAATCAATCAATCTATCTGTCTACCTATCTGTCTATCTACCTACCTATCTATCTATCTATCTATCTACCTACCTGCAGATAGATGGAAGGATCAATCGGCCAGTGGATGGATGCTTGGATGGATGGATGGATGAATGGATGGATGGATGGATGGACCATTTCACAAAGGGGTAGTTATCCCTAAACCCTAAACCCTAAAACCCAAAACCCTAAACCCTATGGGAAGTCGGTTGGGCCTTCTGTTTGCAAGGAGCTCCGGGCCGCTGAAGCAGCGCTTGCAGCGGCGGAGGTCTGGTGGAAGTTTGGAGTTCGGGTTGAGACTGGTAATTCGCCACATAGTAGGATCTTGACAACTCCTGAATCAAACAGGGCCCTGTATTTTTCTCAATCCTAAGGTGGGAAAATCGAAGTAATTTGGTAATTTGGGCCTCCAGGGCGAGCCCTTTCTTCAGTCTGCGTCGCCGGAAAACGGCCAAAGAGCAGCAGTAGTAGCAAAAGCAGCCGCGTGCCAACCCCTGCCTGAAACCCTAGAGCCGACATCGAATGCCCCGAACTCAGTGTACGCCGCTATTGTCGCCTACGCAGGATGATGGAACCTCGGCAGCCCCTTGGGCAGCTGGGCCCGCAGCGACTCGGCCAGCTTGCTGCCTTTTCTTGGGGGATCACTGGGCGAAAAGAGATTCCAGCGGTAGCTTGATGAGGGTTCAGCCATCTCGAGATAGACTCTGCTCTTGGCCTCTGAGCTTGACAACACTTTCGGCTTCAGTGCTTTTCCTCGTTAAGCCCTGAACGTGCTGGGCCTTTCTGCCGTTTAGCTTTCAGTGTTTTCTAAGCCCAAAATGGGAAGTTTACTGAGGTCTGCAACGCTCGCATGCGGACCGCTGATCTTTCTGCTGCTGCAGAGTACCTGGAGAAGCAGCATGCGCTACGAGCGCCGTGTTCCGGCCGTTTTCATACACCTCCATAGCTTCTAACTCCTCGGATGCAGCGACGCAAGCCGAGGTTTTACATCAAAGCAGCTCGCCGGAGCTTCCAAAAGGCCTTGCAGAATCGATCAAAGCCATAAGCCTTGGAGCCTCGCTTCTCTTGCGCCAGGGCCTGAAGCAAGCCCAAGGCATTGACAAGTCGAACCGGGACCCCTTCATCAAGCAGCATGAAGGGCAGCTGCAGGCCATGCATTTCCATGTTCATCTAAAGCGTTTGGACGTAACGGCAGTAATTATCTTGATCGTCGTCGCCATCGTCGTCGCAGCAGTTCTTTAGTAGTTGTAGTAGCAGTAGTCGTGGTAACAGTAGTACTTAGTGGTAGTGGTGGTGGAAGAAACTCGAATTTCTGCCAGCTCCTGGGGGCCCTGGACCTGGCTCCCGGCTCGGCGGAGATTTGGCGCCTTGGCAAAGCAAAGAGACGGACCCCGAAGTCACAGACCTTTTCACGCCTCAAAGCCCTCATAACATATGTGGGGCCTCAATGGCCGGGGGGCCTAAACAGCTCCCTAAGCCCTGGCGAAGAAGAGCGAGCACCTTTCTCTATTCGTGGTCTTTTGGGGCTTTTGCTTTCCGGGCTCTCTGGGTGCTTGGTCGGGTGGTCGTTCATGTCGGTGCTTGGCAAGTATGAACATGTCGACGGTGTTCCGGTAACAAGCCAGGTTCGAGGCGGCCAAAGTAGCCGTCGCCTTGGCGTCCCTGACCGACGCCGAAGGTGGACTTAGGGAAGGGCCCAGGGAAGACATGGAATACTGTAACAATGCGGGCCTCCTCACAGCCTTGAAGCTTTCCGCCCTTGCCAGGCCAGGCGCAGCATGCCGTCGATATGTTTGCACACGCCTGCACGCTGGACCCGCCGAAGCTCAAAGAGGCTTTGGCTTGGCTGGACAAGAAGGAGCGACCTGGCTTGTAAGATCTTGAAAGCAGCCCATCTGGGCTCAAGTATCAGCAGTTGAGATCTGAGGAAATGAGAAAGTCTTGTTGTCCCTTTCCATCCCGTTGAAAATCCTGCTCCACGAATCCGACTCAGGTCGGGCAAGTCGTCAAAAATCACTCAGGAAGAGCAGTTCGTGCGGATCCCCGGGCTACATTTAGCTGCTTGCGCTGGCATAGACTGACCAGATATCCTTTCTCGGAAACGTTTGGCCAAACTCGGAGGCGGGCTAGGTATGTTATCTCGCGACACTTCCGTGCCGGCCTTATCATGGCGAAGGAATCTTGTGGTTCGCGACCACAAATAAGAATGGGTCTAACGGAACTTCAGTTCCCGTCTTTTTTTGTCTCAGGGAGCTGTAGTGGTTCTGCGAGCAATTGAAGCGGTTGTGGGCATTGGCCGACGTATCTACACCTGGAGAGCACAGTCCACGCGCACAGATCCAGCTTAACGATTGGGGTGGGGGCCTGGCCTGATGGGTGGGCGGCTGCGGACGCCGCATAGTAGAAGCATCGCATACTTGGCAAATATTGTGTCAGATGCAGTCTCTACTCGTAGTGTGGGAGGAGCAGGAGGTATAGTGGGGTTTTGGAACCATGTGAACTGTCAGGAAGCTCGTGCGAGAGCAGATCGAGGAGTGGGGCGAGTCTGGATCCGTGCCCGCCAGAGGCCGAGCGGTTTGACACACTTCTTGGTAGTCAGGCAGATGTGCTCCTGTGGTCTCTTCCAGTCGTAGTTTTGTTGTCGTGCGTGGCAGCTTCGGTGCCACCTTGCTGCGAGAGGGTTCATGACGCAGTGGTTGGTTGCAAGTGGTTCAAAGGTCAGGTAAAGACGCTGTGGCTCGCGATCGACTGACGTCAGAGGTTGGAGAAACGATAATTTTGTGGGATAACAGCCGCAATTGAAACACTTTAAGGGCAGCATTCGGGACAATTACAAACTTGGTGCTAGTGACTAGTGTTGACGGCGCCCCCATCATTATATCAATCCCAAAAGGGGAAGAACGACGACAGCGACGTTAGGATGACGAGACGGATAAAGATGACCATGAGGATCAAGATTAGAATGAGGACGGGCCTGATGAGGAGGATAAAGAGAGACAAGGATGGCGACACGAGGATGAGGAGTATGACTATGAGGACGGATGGTGAAGAAGAACAAGAAGCTGCTGCTGCTGCTGCTGCTGCTGCTGCTGCTGAAGATGCAGTGATTTTGGTGGTGCTTATGTTGATCAGCACCATCACCATCACGAGTACAATCACCATCATCATCACCATTATCATTAGCACCAGTATCATCATCATCATCGTCGTCGTCGTCGTCGTCGGCATCAGCACCGCCACCATCACCACTGCCACCGCCACCGCAGGGCCACCGCCACGGCCACCGCCACCGCCGCCGCCACCGCCCGCCACCACCACCACCGCTGCCCTCGCCACCGCCACCGCCGCCACCGCCACCACCACCACCACCATCATCATCGTCATCACCATCGTCATCATCATCATCATAATCATCATCATCATCATCATCATTATCATCATCGTCAGCATCATGGTCAATCAACATCATCATCATCATCATCATCATCATCGTCAGCATCCTCACCCTCGGCATCCTCACCCTCATCATCATCAGCGTCATCATCATTGTCATCATCACCAACAACATCAGCATCAATATGATTTTTGCATTCGTTGTCGAGTCATTGTCATGATTGGCACCATCACTATCATCATCACCAGCATCATCATTAACATCGTCGTCATCATCAGCATCATCATCATCATCATCACCATCATCAACATTAACCTCTTCATTATCACCATCACCGTCATCGTTTCACCATTACAGTTTGCATGTCGTCGTCACCATCATCATAGTCATCAGCAACTTTTTTTATGTTGATCTTATTCATCGCCAAGATATGCTGGGTAGTCGACATCGAGACAGATTTCATGGTGCTTTCGAGAAGCATTATAATTCGATCGCTCTTGACCACGCCCGAGGTTCGGCACCCGGATTTCCTCTCCACGCTGAAAGATGGGATCTGCTTTCCTACACGGGAGTACGGGAAAATGGCCAGCGCCTCTCACGGCATGATCGTGCTGGCTAGGAGGAGGCGAAGAAGGTCTAGCATCGGTATAGAGATTTGATCGGATAAGGGCAAGGAAACTTGGATTTGGTTTGGAGCATGAGCCTGAGACCAGCGCCCTAACATGCTGTGGGTTCGAGGGTTGTGGTTTTTGGTGCTTAAATTTGAGCTCTAGAGCGAGACCCGCCTCGGGGACGGTCACCGGGGTGGAGCAGACCTTGCCAGAAGAAGGCACTTGCAAGGCAAGAAGACAAGACGTGGGAGAAGGAGTGGAAAAAGGCGGGGCGGCGGGGTTTTGAGACCTAGCGACACGCGCCCAAGCTCCTGGGCGACCCTCAGCCGGCACCGGACCCCTCAAAAATGAACCAACAAGTCGAGAGCACAAGCCCGATCTGGTGGTGAAGAGGGTCGGAGGGGGTGCAAGGGGGGTGGAGGGCATTGCCATGACATGGTCCGATTGAACAACATCAACTCTGGCCTCGGCGGATTCAAATTTTTAGGGGTCGGGTGGTGGGTCGGGATAGCCGGGATGTGGGCTCGGTGCTGCGCGATCAAGCTTGCGGCTGGGGCAAAAGCACCTTCTGAGCAGCGTCATGCAAATTAAATGTGCCAAGCATTTGCTTTTCCGTAAACCACGAGGTGCTCACCCCAAGGATGTCGCAAAGATCGTTGACGGCTTTCAGGTGTGCAGAGGGATAAGAGCTTGAAGAAGGAGCGAGTAACCCGTCGAGTTCTAAAGCGGAGAGTTCCTGCGAAGAGACGGATGCCTCGGCAGAGTTTGCCTTGGCTGCGCAGGTGAGGAATGCGTTTCCCACCAAGATCCTGTCGGTGCAGCCCGCCAGCAACATGGTTTCTCAATGTGCCCCTAACCGACCGTATGGAATGAGATGGATGAAAGAGCGAGGGAGCCAGCGAGCAAGCAAACCAGCACACTAGCGAGCAGGCAAGTCAGGCAAGTCAGCAAGCCAGCAAGATCCAGCAAGCCAGCAAGAGAACGGCGATAGTCTTGTTGCCCGTCTAAGCAAACCATCAAGTCATCCTACCATCACAGAACAAGAGAGTATGCACACGCTGCATGTGGACCTGGTTAAGGTGATTCAGAGTCGAGGTCTAAGCCTTGAGGCTCTTGGAGTTGCAGTATGACTAGTGCCAGGATAGATAGAATTTGAGGACGTGGGTGATGCTGTTGTCTATAAGGTTTAGCGCATCATCCTCCTCCTCTCGAGGAATGTGCGCTCTCGGCTGCCAGAGGGCTTCACCACACGCCTCGCCGACCTCGCAGTTCGAAAGTACGAGCAGTGGCTCGACTCAAGCACGCAAGCACCCAGCTTCAGGAATTCGGTTGATGTCCCGCTTTTTCAATTTATGCATCTCTGCGTGATGCCGGTATGCGACGGCCCGGGCGCGTTGTTTCTGTGTGAAAGCACTTAGGTTTGGCAAGAAGTACACAGACATAGATCCCAACGATTTGAACGACAAGTGCCCCGTCTGCATACGTTGTCTCGTAACGAAGGAACGTGGCCTGCCGATTCCCGCTTGCTTTTTGATCATGTTTGCTTTTGTCACCATTCTCAGGCAAATCATGCATCACGTTACAACTTTGCAGCAATCACCTCTACATATACTGTACATACTTGCTAGCCGCAAGTCCATCCAAGAAGGCTCGAGGAGCAAGTAGCCCAGGTTCTTCAGCTTCCAGGCGACCCATGCGGACCGACTCTCGAGGTCTGACGAGAAGAAATGGCCCGTGACTCGCCCGGTTCTTTTGGAGGGTTTAGGCTTTAGGGGTCTTTTGGAGGGTTTAGGGTTTAGGGTTTAGGGTTCTTTTGGAGTGTTTAGGGTTTAGGGTTTAGGGTTCTTTTGGAGGGTAGAGTTGATGGCCGGACTGGGTGTTGCCAGATGTCAAGGTCGAGCACTGTGAGCTAGACTGTTTTTTTCGGGGTCGTCACGTGGGCTCATGGTAGCCAACAGCATCACGACAAGAGAGGGTGGTGGGGGTTCGGCGCATCCAAGGAAATGTACAGAGATTCCGAGGACTTCAAGATCCTGACTCGGGCGCGGAGCTCAGCTCCATGAAGTTTCTCGAGCGAACTCCTGCCTGCTGGCACTGAAAGTACGCAGTGACAGCAAGCACAGCACTGGCTGTAGGTCATGAAGGGCGCTCTGCTGGGCTTTCTGAACAAGACGGGGATCACCCTGCCCCAGGGAGTTTCTTTGCCTGAATTAAGCATTTCCTGGGAACTGTCAGTCCCGACCTGCGCGAAATCTCAGGATCAAGGCTACGGTCTCGTGTCCCAGAGCTGCACTAAGCCGAAAGAGCTCCGAACAGTTCGTGGCTACCGCCGCAGGCTGTGGGCTGCCGTGTATCCTGGAAACGGCGGGCGCCATGGGTGCCCCTGGGAGAGCAGGGGTGGCTGACCAGCCCCCTTCAAGAGACCCTGCGACTTAAGGAGGATTTCAGGTGGCTGGCACCTGTGAGATATGTGCAGCATATGGCGAAGACATCCTGGGAGCCACAGGTACCATGTGCACCAGGGCTCTGCTTCCTCGTGCGTCCTGTATGCCCGCGTCGCCGGCCTGAGCCTGAGATTCCGTGTTACATCGCCAGCAACAACCTGATACCTTGGCCATGTCTGTGGCGCTGGCGGTGGTTGTCTTACAGTGGCGGCGGCGGTGGTGGTGGTGCTGGTGGTGTGGGGGTGGGAGTGTCGTGAGTCGTGGTGGTACCCGAAGAAACGGCCGTGAGCATGAAGACAGAATCAGATGAGAATGTTAAACCGCTGCTGCTGCTGCTGCTGCTGCTGCTGCTGCTGCTGTTTTTGATGATAACGACGAGGACGATGATTATGAGCGTAACAGTAACATCAATACCAACATCAACACCAACAGCAAACTATGGGCAACCGTGTGGTAGGGTGTCAGCGCGCCAGCTGCCTCTAAAGGGCCTGCTGCTACTGCTGTTCACAAATGATCAAATACTACCTGGTTAATAAAGCGGTGGAGAACCTGAACCGACTAAAGAAATGCGACGGGATTCGCTTATTGTTGATTCGAGACCAACAGTCTTTACATCGTCACCGGAACCGTACTAGGACAACACGGATTGTTGCCGGGAAAGCAGGAAAGCATGAAACGCCGACTTCACTTCACTCTGTGTCGCCCACTGGCTTCCACGCCGGTCCAGTGTGCGCAATACACTGGCGTGCACTGCTCCTCAGCAGTGGTTCCCGTAACATGCACACAGTAGAGTAATTTGCAACTCTATCAGACTGCTCATGAATCGTGTTTACAACAGACATGAGCGTGTGATGTCTGAGGATCTTGGGTTTTAGGATGTTTAGGATGTTTGTCGTCTGGGCATTCGGATGTTGAGCCGGCTTCGGGGTCCTGGGGGCTCAGAGCCTCTGCGCTCTTCATCAAGTGAATGGAGTTTTGGATTTGGCGATCAGCTTCGGGGCTCGCCAGTCGTGTAGGAGAAATGGTTGTTTACCTCCTTCCAGTGGGAGATCACTAGACGTTCTCAAGTTGCAATAGAAGGTCAATGCTGCCTAGTGAATCTTCGCTGTGGAGTTGCGTGGTCGCTGACTTCTGGAACTTGCGTTTTGCCGAAATGGGGGCATGCCCAGGTGCCTCTACTCCGATCAGCTTCATTGATCCCCGTGGGGCACCGCCGGTCAACGACGCTCTGACTGGAGGAAGCCGTCCCAACGCTCCGGCGGAGCGATTAAAGGATCTCTATCCAGGGGTTGAGCCGAGTCCATCGGCTGAGGGCGGCGCATTGTGAGGGTGTAGACACTGATTTATGCACTCTTTCTCCAGAACATATGCGTCATATGCATGTAGGACTCGTAAACTCTCTTGCGGCTGCTTGGAGGAGCAGTTCCGCGGTTTCTAGTCCCGGAATTTCGGGCAGCTGTGGATGTTTTCTGGGGCTCCGTATTCCCAGCCAGTCATGGCACCTACTTCGGCAGAAATGCTGCCGCGGGGACTAACAGTTCCAAACTTCTTCAGGACGATCATGCAAAGGTGCTGCCTAACAAGCCCTCTTTCTCCACGAATCCCCAATGCCCTCCTGTACCCTGCCAGCCTTTTATAGGCTCCGTCAAAGTGCCCGCACGGAAGAGTCTGCAACCTAGCGTTTCCAAGGATTACGAGCAGTACGAGAAGGCAAGCTTCCGACAGCATATGGTTGCACATCCGACTTGCGGGGTGTTAAACAGTCCACTTGTCACCGGTTGTTGCGGGTTCGTAAGATGCCCCACCCAGATCCCGAAGTGGTAAGAAACGCAGGGCTCTTCTGCCACTACCCGCTACCTTTCGGCTCGAGCGTCAAGTAGTCAAGATGTTCCTTGATGTCGGTTTCACAGCATAGTGGATAGCCGCGTTGCGCAAATGACTGAAGATGATTGCTCATCACTTGGACAAGCTGGTGGTGTCATTGACAAGACGAGTTTGCCTCCAGCTGGAGCACCTTTTGCAGCATCTCCTGGCGCGTGAACATGACAAAGGGGCCCATCCTCTGCACCTCCCCGCTCTGATGAGCCAGCACGTCTTCGGCAGGTCGAGGAAATTGTGCGTGGGCTGGCGGACAGTCATAGGCTTCTCCGAAGCGGGTTGACCACAGCATCAAGNNCTTGATGCTGTGGTCAACCCGCTTCGAAGAAGCCGATGACTGTCCGCCAGCCCACGCACAATCTCCTCGACCTGCTGACGACGTGCAGCCGTTGGGAAGGCTGAGCCAGGTGCGAGCATTCGGCAATGTCCCTCAGGTGAACCTCTAGTAGGCCGCGGCTGGGAGGTTCACCTGAGGGGCATTGCCGAACGCTCACACCTGGCGGAGTTGCATGCCCAACCACGAGGTGCCACAATTCAACTGCGCAGAGATCTTAGCACGACATAATGTCTCTCACAAATCTCATGTCTGGCTGCACGGGCGAAAGGGTGTTTGAACTGGTAAGACCCGCTTCTCCAGCAAGACAGACACTGTGAGAGCCTGCCGAGTCTTTCTGACCAGAGGGCGTGGGCAAGTGTCGGAGTTGCTTAGATTCTCCGGCACGATAGCTTACATTGACATGTGGCGGAACATAGAACTGGGCGAGAGGTCCGAGTGTCGAGACAAACTTTGGCCGGCAAGCATTGCCGCCCGGAGAAGGCACATGCGGCAGAGCTTGGCAGTTTCGGCAACCTTTTCGGAACGGCCTTCAGTGTCCTGTCACAGTGGATCAGCGGCTACTGTTCTTTCCCGCTGTCGGATGAGCCAGTATTGGAGGTTTGGTTGCGGTCACTGCGAGATGAGGGCTGCATTCGGCTGAAAGCTGGCAAAAGCCGGGGAAGGTTCGCTGCAGTGATCATGATCAGCACGAGGAACTGCAATCAAAGATCGTCGACAACATTACCCCGAGCACCCACCCAGCTGATGATGCTGCTCATCCCCAACATGGACGTGAGGAAGGTGTCCCATTCCTTCAACTTCTTGGCATGCGAGCAGTATCCCTGCATCTCGCAGGTCGTGCGCAGCGAGACCATCCGCAAGCGCAACTCCACCAGCTCCTTCCTCCGCAAGCTGGTCCAGCAGATCAACGCTAAGTTTTGTGGGCCTTTGTGGCAAATCATCCCCAAGGATACAGAGGATGCTACCTTTTCCAATTTCAAGAGGCGTCCTTTCATGATCTTTGGCATTGATGTCTACCTCAGCTTCGAAGGGGCCGGTTGGCTCGGAATACTTTGGACAAGGTATTCTCTCAGTACTAAATCAATCTCCGTACAGGCAGCCGCGGCATTCGTACTTTCTGCAGCCTCCAGGCATTGGTTGCAGTTTGCGGCACAAAAGAAAATCCGGCAGGGTCCAAGAGCTGCGCCATGTGGCTGGAGCATGTCGCCATCTCCGTGTAGCGCTGATGGGTTCGATGATTTGCGTCTCCGTGTGTTGACCTCCTGGGAGAAAACATTCATGTTCCTGGTGCTCTGGAGCGCTTCAGCCGGGTGATAACAGTGAGGCAGATTGAATTTGGCATTTTAACGCTGATGCTGAATTGTCCAAGCCTTCACGCCGTCGACGGCTGAAATCCCGAACATCTCGGCCAGGTCGCTCAGTTTTCCGAAATGCAAAGTTTGTCGTTACGGCAAGTCGCGGACTGTGCGATGTCTGAGGGCACCATGTTTCGTTCACCACCTGCCGTGGCCGGGCCTGGAAGCCACCAAGCCGCAAAAAACATCAGGCCGGCAAGGCAGCCGGTGAGGCCATGGAACCCAGCTCCTGAAGATGTTCTTGAATGTCGAAGGCTTGCCCGAACAAGCGGGGGACTTTCGTGTCTGTCGGAAGAAACAATCCGAAAGAGAGTCAGTGAAGGCCCAGCTCATAGATCGGCACACTACTGCCGAAGGCAATCCGGGAGCAAAAAGTTCGCGGCTGGTAGTGCAGGAGTGTTCGTCGACAGGAGCGAGACTTCGAGCCGCAAGCTCCATTTCATCACAATGTGCCTTCGGCTCTTTCGATAGCAGACTTCACAGGAGCTGGATGGCTTGCGTGTGGTCCCCTCGAAAGCGAAGACTAAGGAGTACTTCTTCCCGACAGAGGGCGACCTGGTGTGCTTTCCTTCGTGGCTGGTCCACAATGTCCCGTCCCACTGGGAGACAGAGACTCGCGTGGCCTTCGCAGCAAACCTCCAAGGACAGGCTGAGAAGACCATGAAGTCTGCATATGCGGCTCCTAAACAAATCCTCGTGAGGCTCCACGGCCCGGCCCTTGTAGGCTTCCTCCAGCTGAGCACTGCGACAGGAGATGGTGCCTGGGACAGCTGGTTCCACACCGCAGTTGGATGGAGCTGAGGCCCTGCCCTTCTGGGGAAAAAGAGCAGCATTAAGGGAGGCATGGGAAGCCTGAATGAAGACCCAGGCAGGAGAGTGGGTGTTGTGGCCATGCGCGGTGCACAGAGCCGCCTGCCCTCGTCTGCTCCAGCTGAGCATGCTTCCAAATGATCCTGCTACACCTGCACAAGTTTGTCATTCCAACCTTTATCCGATGGACAGCGACGCGAAGACAAACTCTACTTTGACAGTCCCATGACAAAATCGAATCGACTTCAACTCAGACAGCTCGTGCCACCTCCCAGCTGACAATGGCGGTGCCTCTGCCTGCTGCGCCTCTGAGCGCCAACCCGCATGTGCAACTGCCCATGGAGGCAGTGGGGTGCCAGCCAAGGCAGGGAGGGTGAGACATGGCGAGAGGGAGCGGGAGCGGTTCAGCTGTAGCAGCTGGAGGGGGCCTGTAAGCAGCAAAGTTTCCGCGGTCCCTTTTGGCAGCTTGGTGGAGTTGGGCAAGACCCGGAGCGCCCCGTTGCCGAGCATGGAGGACGGAGACCGAGAGACCGGAGAGCACGGGAGAGACTTCAAGCTTTTGCTGTTTGACCAGGACCCGGAAGATTCAGCCAAACTTCAACCGCTGGTTCGAACACGCACGATTTCGGCTGTGTCCACGGCATCTAGGATAGATTTCAATGTTGTCAGCGTAGATGGTGGGTGCAGTTACCTTGACCAGATTTCGTTGTGTCTTTGTTGTGCGAAACAGTTGGGTTTATTATATACAGAGCAGCCAAGCCAAGGACAGCTGTGTGTCGGCGACTTGGACTCGAATCGCCAAGGACTGCGTGTTATGGGCTCTTCGGGATGTTTGTGCTGCTTGCTGTCTACGGTGCCGATGCCGAGGTTTGCAGGTAGTCCACTTTGCCAGCGTGAATGAATGCCGACAAATCTAGACGAGGGTGGAGAGGAAGAGGCAGAGGGAGCTTGCACATCCAGAAAGATTCAGGGGCGCGGAATCGTAAGCTGCACCTAGGCGCTTTCCTCGTCGACGGTCTTCTGGTCACCATCTTCGCATTTCACGCCGAAAGCCACGTGGCAGTTATTTGTGGCATGCATATCTGTCTCCGATCGCTAGAATTGAAAAGTAGTAACAGCGGTTCCAACGACACTAGGGTCAATAGTGGCAGCCGGGGTCATAACCTTTAACCAGAATCATCACCAACCCGACTCTGATAATCCCTCATCGCGTTGATCACCCTACATGTGTCACCATTATCAGTGCGTTGGCGATTGTCGATGTCCGTGTGCATGCCAGAATGTATGTCCATCTGAAAGTGCATGCCCATGCAATGAGAGAAACTGTGCCAGTCCTCCGTCTACCCGCCTGGCATGGGACTTACGCCACTGGCTGGCAGCCGGAAACTAAGTCGTTCTGGTACGGAGCTCCGTTTGAGTCTGTGCGACGGTACTTCGTTTGAGGCCAGTCGCACAGGACCTTGACGCCTTCCGCTTCTCCGATCGTGCGCACGAGCTTGGTCTTTGAAGTTGGCCACATAGCACTGTGGTGATGACTCGAGCCGTTGAGGTCTTCGGGAACTGCTGCTGCTGCTGCTGCTGTTGCTCGCCTAGTACCCCCAAACTGTAGCTCTTGCTTGACCTTCCCCTAACCCTGCTGCCCGAGTGCTTCGGTGTATGGTGGCAAGTGTCAGAACTTGTCCGAGGATCTCCATGGGCTCGGAGGCGAGCCTCGTGCGCACGACGTCCATTTCACGTCCCTACCCGCCGGGCTTGGGCTACACGCCCATCAGCACACCCAAAGGCACGTGCTGCTTGGGGTGGGCAGGATTAAGCCAAAGTCACTGTCGCAATCCAAGTCTGCAACATGCTTGAGAGTACCGCACGTTAGCTGTGATGCTCGTCATCGCTCCTGTCTTTCAGATTCGCTTTCTCGGGCGAACTCCTTCGGCTTAACCGCTGAAGTGGAGCCGTGCAGACCCAGGCGCCGGAAACGTTGCTTGCGGCCAGCGGACCTTGTCCTACCTCCCGTCCCTTCGTGGTCGCATTCTAATACTCGGTGGTTTTGATCCTGCCAGGTATTGCTAAGCACGATTGTGTACCCATTCGGTGTGGATAGGCATGACCAGGTATTCTCAGAGAGTACAAGAGTGATAAACATTGGATGCTTGTGCTTGTAATCTTGACAGATCCTCTGACACGATCTTAGACTTATCATGCTTAAACCCTAAAACCTAAACCCTAAACCTTTATCCCCCTAAACCCCCTAAGCCTTTTTTTTCGCCTTTCGAGGAGGAAGTCCACAGACCTCGCGGCCGTCCTCGAGGCCCACGCCGAGGCCCGGATGCTTGGGCCGTTGCTGCTGTTCCTCAACTAACAGTAAATACTACTTAGTAGTGCTTCATAAGAACTAAATAAATGATACTGACAATAACAATAGCAACAAAAATGGTTAGAGGAATAAAACTGAGCAAGAGTCATTCATGGTAATAGCCAAAATATGAACAACAAATACAGTTGCAATATCTCTTCCAGGATCACAGCTTCTCCCGGGAGCTGCTGCTGCTCTTCCGCGGCGGGGCTTCGGACGCCTCAGACGCGGCGGAAGCCGGCTTTCTGCTGCCGGCCCCGGGTTTCTTCAGAGCCTCGGCCCGGCATCTGAGAGAGACAGACGCTCATAATAAGTAAATAAGAAATAGTGAAATATTGCTAGTATTAATGATGACAAGGAGAACTTGTATTTATAAGAGTTTATGCTTAAACATACTAATAAGACATATTATTTGTTATTAGTAATAATCAAAACAAGTATAATAGCAACAATACTAACAACAATAGTTATACAACAACAACAACAACTCCTACTACTACTACTACTACTACTACTACTACTACCACGAGGAACAACAACGACTACTACTAGTACTATTACTAGTACTAGTACCACAACAACAACAACTACTCCTACTCCTACTACTACTACTACTACCACCACCAACAACGACTACTACTAGTACTATTACTAGTACTAGTACCACAACAACAACAACAACTAGGAAGCACGTGCGTCTGCCGCCGCGCGGGGTGTGCCGTTTATGTTTGGGAGGTTTTTTGGTCGAAAGCACGAAAACCTTGTGTTTTGCGAGGT